AGGACAAAAGATGTTTTTTCAACATACCCTCAAGGCAGGAACAAGATGAGAAAGACTGTCCCGGAGGTAGGCATAGTGCCTGAAGGTATGATCCGAGAACAATGCTGGCATTGTTGGGCAGCTTTTAGCAGCATTGAAGATAAGAACCAAAACTGCAATGTCTGATGGATGAGAGTTAAGTAAGCCTGGAGGTACAAAAGGTTGAGTTTGGCCAGAATCTAGTGTCCCCACTTCCCGCCCCCAAAATTCCCACTAAGTGACTACAATTTTCTAATACTGAAATGCAAATTCAAACAGAGACAGATTATCCTACTCCATATTATCCCAATTACCAAAAGTTTTAAAAAATAATGCCTGTGGTGAGGGCCTGGGGGGCAGAAGGGGCAGGAGAGGGCTGGAAGAGGTTAGTGGGGTAAAAAGAAGGACCTATGTAATACTTTCAACAATAAAGATTAAAAAAAATAAACAAGCAAACAATAAAAAATAAGAACTTGGCAAAAGAAGAGAAAAACTTCAAGATAGCAACCAAACAACCGAATGATCAGTCAACTGGTTATGACACGCACTGACCACTAGGGGGCAGACGCTCAACACAGGAGCTGCCCCCTGGTGGTCAGTGCGCTCCCACAACCAACTTTCCATGGCTGGCCAACCTCCCGCAGTCCCTCCCCCGGCCAGCCAACCTCCCACGGTCCCTCCCCCTGGCCGGCCAGCCCTGATCGCAACCAAGCTGAGGGACCCCACCCATGCACGAATTCGTGCACCAGGCCAATAATAATAATAATAATAATAACAACAACAATAATAATGCCTGATGCTGTTGAGAATACTAATAAATGGAAACTTCTGGTACATTGGCTACTAAAGTATATAATGGCACAATCCCTTTGGATAATAATTTGGTACTAGATAGTGTCTTATGAATGTTGAATAATTCCACATCTTAAATCTATTCTAAGTAAATAATAAGATAGCACAGAAGCATTTATAATAGCAAATAATCAGAAATAACTTAAATATCCCAAACCAGGAGAATAACTATACAACTTATACTTCATTTACTTGATGGAGTTGCCAGCACATCCCCAGTAGGAGGTGTGCAGGAGGCGGCTATCGATGTTTCTCTCTCATGGATGTTTCTGGCTCTCTATCCCTCTCCCTTCCTCTCTGTAAAAAAAAAAAAATGTGTGTTGTTTTTTTAATATTTTTTAAATATATTTTTACTAGAGGCCTGGTGCACAGATTCATGCACTAGTCCCTTGGCCTAGCCTGCGGGGATCAGGCCGAAACCGGCTCTCCGACGTCCCCCCAGGGGTCCCGGATTGCAAGAGGGCTCAAATCAAATCCCTAAACTTCACCAATGGTCTTGCATAGAGTAAAAAGAACCATGGGAGAGCATGAATGCACTAATGTAAATGTATTCCCATGACTGGAAAATAATCCAATTGCACGGCATGCTGTCCATGGCAATCACAAACCTATTGAACTTGTATCAGAGACATAGTAGCTCAGCTGCATCCACTCATTCAGGCTGCATATCAAATTAAACACGCAATAAGACATAGGGCAGTGATGGTGAACCTATGACATGCAAACTCATTTTTTTGGTTGATTTTTCTTTGTTAAATGGCATTTAAATATATACAATAAATATCAAAAATATAAGTCTTGTCCTAACTGGTTTGGCTCAGTGGATAGAGCGTCAGCCTGTGGACTCAAGGGTCCCAGGTTCTATTCCGGTCAAGGGCATTTACCTTGGTTGCGGGCACATCCCCAGTAGGGGGCGTGCAAGAGGCAGCTGATCGATGTTTCTCTCTAGTCGATGTTTCTAACTCTCTATCCCTCTCCCTTCCTCTCTGTAAAAAATCAATAAAATATATTTAAAAAACCATATGTAAGTCTTTGTTTTACTATGGTTGCAAATTTCAAAAAAATTTCTATATGTGACATGGCACCAGAGTTAAGTTAGGGTTTTTCAAAATGCTGACACGCCGAGCTCAAAAGGTTCGCCATCACTGACATAGGGGCAAGTCCATAGGCTTTAAACTAAAGGTAGCTGACTGCGAATCCCAGATTTAATGCTTGGAGAGTTACTTATCCTCTCTGAGCTTCAGTTTTCTCAACTGAATACCTCCTTCCACGGTTGTTTGGAAGATCATTGATAAAATGTATAAAGCATTTACATGGTATGTGGAATATAGCAGGTGTTCGATAAATGGTGTAAAAATTATTTGTATTAAATGGCAAAGGGCAATTACTGTGAAAACAAGAAAGCTGAGAATAACCTCCAGGCTAGGCTACCTCAGGATATACTCTTATCTAAAAGAAATGAAAAAGAAAATAAAACTCAGACCACCTAAGCTACACTACAGGAAAAGATGCTAGAATTCCCTGCCAAGTCAGTAGGGTCTGTCCTAAGCACAGAGGATACATGCTGGATCATCCATGTCTGGTTCAGCTGTGTCAAAAAACGGGTGGGTGCTCAGGAGCTCTGGAACCAAGGGAAGCACCAGGGTTGGATGTCGACTTCCCAGAAACTTCAGGCATCTGAAATAAACAAAATGAGAGCCCACATTAGTAAGTTAATAAATGCTTTTCAAAGTACTAGGATTTCGAATCAGAAAGCCTGATTCAGAATTACAAATTCTCAACCACCTAGTTTTGCTCCTTCTATGACTTCAGACAAGTCATTCAATTATTCTAAAACTCAGTTAATTTGTCTAAAAATTTGGTTATTATGAAGACAAAAGAGCTGATATAGCTGCTATTACTACTGGTTACTTAACAACCATTTCCCCCATCTTCCTTGCCAAAAGAACCCTGATTTTACTCAGGTATAAGGTAGATAGCAAAGTGCTCAGAGAAGGCAGGCCCAGCCCAAGGGCTCAACCACAATTGGTCTAATAAACCCATCATAGCAACCCCATCCGTATTTTCCAGTGACTGGTTTGCAAGTAACCAACTAATCCAGTTCTGGTGAATGGAAGTCTGCTGGAGAGCTTCTTAGGTATCCTATATAATAAAAGCCCAATATGCTGTGTCCAACCCTTCGTTCGACCACTTGACCAGTTGCTATGACATGCACTGACCACCAGGGGGCAGACGCTCCAACCGGCAGATTAGCTTGCTGCTGGGGTCCAGCTGATTGGGACTGGGCGAGACCAGCTGGACACACCCTGGAGCCCTCCCGAGGTCCCTCCCCAGCCCCAATCGTGCACCAGTGGGGTCCCTCAGCCTGGCCTGTGCCCTCTCACAATCCGGGACCCCACAGAGGATGTCAGAGAGCCAGTTTCAGCCTGATCCCCAGAGTACAGGCCAAGGCACCCCACTGGTACACGAACCCGGGCCCCAGGCCTCTGGTCTGTCATAAAGTAAGAAATCAATTGGCTATCAGTTAACTATTATGACTACATTAAGGTCCTTTATAAACTATCAAGAACTACAAGTGTGGCCTAGTGGTTGAGTGTCAACTCATGAACCAAGAGGTTGCTGGTTCAATTCCCAGTCAGGGCACATGCCTGGGTTGCTGGCTCCCTCCCCAGTGTGGGGCATGCAGGAGGCAGCTGATTGATGTTTCTATCTTTCTACCCCTCTCCCTTCTTCTCTAAAAATCAGTAAGAACATATTAAAAAAAATTTTTTTTAAAAAAAGAACTACATGTGTGCTAGGAATTATGCATTTTTATTATTTTTTATTTGTTAAGTTTTGGTTTAAAAGGTGTGATGAATTGAAAATAAATATAAATCTTAATTTCTGTTCTCAATGAGTTTATGATCCAGCTGAGGCAAACATGACTAACACAAGGTAATGAACTATCAAATGAATGATAGTCTGCTTTCTACCTGTCAAAGGTAGAAGAAATTACTATGATAAGAGAAAATATCACAAAGAAGATGGATTTCACCAGGGACTGGAGAATAGGCAGACTGGCAAAAGAAAGAAAACAAACACCGTTAACAAATTCGTGAATATATGGGATACGAAAGGCATCACATTTAAAACACTTGACATTGTTAGTAAACTTTTCCCTAGTCCTGTTTTTCCTTCTATGTGGAAACAACTCACTTCACTAATTTTCTGACCTCTCTCAGGGCTTTTACTCGCTATGCCTAAGGGGACTTTGTAAAGGTTCTAGTTTGCTTCCAGGTGCCACTCTTTTATTTTATCTCTTTCTATTCAGATCCCAGGTGGAGAATACAGGAGTTATTAATTGGGTCCCCTCAGAGACCCTTAAGTATCTGGGCCTCTCTAGACTTCAAGTCTGACTTGTAATATGTTTTACTATCTCATCCACCTCCCTATCTACACATTTCTTTCTTCTCTCCCTACCTACTATTTTGAAGGCTAGGTTTCTGAGATGAATCCAATTTTGGTTTTTTTGTTGTTGTTGTTAATCTTCACCCGAGGATATTTTTCCATTGATTTTTAGGGAGAGTGGGAGAGAGAGGGAAAGACAGAAACATCGATGTGAGAGAAACACATCAACTGGTTGCCTCCTGCACATGCCCGACCAGGAGCCAGGCTAGGGAGGAGCCTGCAACCAAGGTACATGCCTTTGATGGGAATTGAACCCGGGAACCTTCAGTCCACAGGCTGACACTCTATCCCCTGAGCCAAACTGGCTAGGGCTGAGATGAATCCGTTTTTAAATCTCCACAGCACCTAACACAGTGACTGGGTTATAACATGTGTTCAATAAGCATTTTTTATGAATACCCTAAAGGTATATAAACACAACAAACATGTAATTCAAAACTTTCATTTATGTACCCATCTTTAGCAGTGTCTTAAAAACATGCCACTGTGACTATTCCTTCACTCTTTTATCACATTCTTTTTTGATATTTTAAATAAACCACTGTAACCTTGACTTAACATTTCAGTTAAGAAATAAAGGCTGTGTATTTTACCTTTTCTCAAGGCTGCAGCCACCCCTCTGTTTTCTTGAAGTGTGTAAATAAAGCCCTGTGTTTTCATTCTTTATCTACCCTTTTTTACAGCTTAAAGAAGTTCCAGGGGAGAAAGGGCTGCTTGGCACCAGCCATGAAGATCCACAGGTGCCCATAGTAAATCTACAAATTCTTGTTTGAAGAAAGTTCCAAAATGAGGAGAGGAAGCTTGAGAAGTGACATATTCCCAGTCCCTCAGCCCTTCTCCCTTTCCAATGATCCCCCTTCTCAGAGCTGCACTTCCCATTCCCCTCCCCGATCTCTTTGTTACACTTTCCATCTCCATCTTTACAAAAGCCTCTGCCTGCATTGAGATTATTAAGGTGGCTTTTTGAGGACTGGAAAGTCCCCCATCTTCTCGAGATGCCGGCATTCAAATAAACATCTTTCCTTTTTCACCAGCACCTGTCTCAAGAGTTTGTCTTTCGTTGTGGCAGACAGAGGAACCTGGGTTTGCTTGCATCACCATTCATGAGGAAAGATGAAAAAAAATCAAGTGATAATTATGTCACTCCAAAATCTTTTGGAGCACTTTAAGGTGAAGGAGTTTTCTGTCTACAAATATCAATAAAGACAGTCTTGCCATAAATATTCTGGGTGAACCAAATAACCACAAATCTTATTTTAAGGCAAGAAGAATAAACTGCTAAACACTATATAACAATCCCTTCCATCAAGCAGAATGAATTCCTTCTGTGTCCCCAAAAAAGTACAGATACTGACATAGGTATTTCTCCCTACCCCAACCCCACACACCAAATGATTGAGTGCTCCTTGAAGACAATCAATATATGTATATCGAATTGAGCTGAACTGGACTGAACAAACATGAAGAAACAGCAAAACAAATAACCAGATATCAAAAATATTACCTAGCTCTCACTGGTTTGGCTCAGTGGATAGAGTGTCAACCTTGCAGACTAAAGGGTCTTGGGTTCAATTATGGTCAAGGGCATGTATCTCGGTTGCAGGTTCAATCCCTGGCCCTGATCAGGGCACATGTGGGAGACAACCAGTCGATGTGTCTCACATCAATGTTTGTCTATCTCTCTCCTACTGCTTTCCATTTTCTTTAAAAAATCAATGGAAAAATATCCTTGGGTGAGGATTTTTAAAAAAAGTGTTATCTAGAACAAGAACTCTCTGGTATTTTTTTTTTAATATATATTTTTTATTGATTTCAGAGAGGAAAGGAGAAGGGAAGAGAGAGATAGAAACATCAATGATGAAAGAGAATCATTGATCAGCTGCCTCCTGCACACCCCCTACTGGGGACCGAGCCCCTACCCAGGCATGTGCCCTGACCAGGAATCAAATGTGACCTCATGGTTCATAGGTTGACACTCAACCACTGAGCCACACTCGCCAGGCTGGTTTTCTTTCTTTTTTTTTTTTTTTTAAATATATTTTTACTGATTTCAGAGAGGAAGGAAGAGGGAGAGATAGAAACATCCATGATGAGAGAGAATCATGGATCAGCTGCCTCCTGCAAGTCCCCCACTAGGGATAGAGCCCACAACCCAGACATGTGTCCTTGACTGGAATCGAACCTGGGACCTTTCAGTTCACAGGACAACGCTCTATCCACTGAGCCAAACTGGCTAGGGCAGTATTTTCAATTTTTAATGTATCTTTTATTCTTGGAAGAATGAAACCATTCTCTCAAGTACCTGATTCGACCATTTTCTACTCTTAGTAATAAATTTTTCTGGAAATCAAGAAACTACACAGTTGGCATGATCTCATCACATAAGCTCATTTAAATATGTGGAGCACACACTTTTTTTTGTTGTTGGTAATCCTCACCCAAGGATATTTTTTCCATTGATTTTTAGAGAAAGTGGAAGGGAAGCACACTCATTTAATTTTTATATTAAATGTAAGCAAGTAGTTCTTCAAACAGCAATTCATGAACAGTGTTAACAGTTTGATTCTAGTCAATAAAGCTAGAGGTAATCAAGGGGAGAAATGACTGAGATTTTCAATCTGCAGACCAAGTGCCGGCCCTGCCTCTAATCTTTACAATGATAGTTGTGATCCTGTACAAAATCCAAACTGGACAAAGCAGTGATTAACACTACACAGGAGAAAAAGGAAATCTAATTAGCTCACCTCTGTACTTCCAACACTTATCACAGAGTTTGGCACATAGGAAGCACATAGCAGGCATATATTTGCTAGGTGGATGGATGGACAAATGAATAAATAATCTAAAATAAAATATTCCATTTAGGAATCAGACTCCCGAGAGTTTAGTTAAGTTGAATCAGGTTTGTAAATTTAAGGCAAAATGGATAGCCGTATCCTCAATCGATGATGATCCAATCTTATACAGTGGGGCCTTGACTTATGAGTGTCCTGACTAACGAGTTTTTTGAGATACCAGCTGTCTCTTGGCCGATTTTTTGCATTGAGTTGATAGAGTAATTTGAGTTAACGAGCTCCTTAATGAGCTCCTTAACGAGCTCGGTCTCGGAACGAATTAAACTCGTAAGTTAAGGCCCCACTGTATAATAAAAGCCTAATATGCAAATTGTCCCCTTGACCAGGAGTTTAACCGGGAGTTTGACCAGGGGGCAAGGCTGGCTGGCCAACCACAGGAAGGGAGGCCCTGGCTGGCGGCGGCAGGCAGTTGGGGGAAGGGAGGCCCAGGCAGCCAGGGGAAGTGAGGTCCTGGCCGACAGCCACTAGGGACCCTACCCGTGCACAAATTTCATGCACGGGGCCTCTAGTGAATAATATCAAGACTGTATATCTACCACGTTATTTGACTCAGTGAGCAAATGCACAAAAAATTCCTTACTTCCATATGGAATCCCTATCAGTAGGGTACTTGGTTAAATTTTTCAGCAGCTCCACCAGTGCAAGATGAATCCCTTCTTTGGTTGAAACATTAGCACAGCATAAGAGTTCATGAAGAGCCTCCCTAATATCTCTGGATGAATCCTTTAAAAAAAAAAGATAGTATTACTATTAGCAGTCACTATGAATAAGTTGTTATGGAGAAGTGTGTAAGTTACAATGACAGTACAGGACAGGGAGAGGCTGGTAGTTGAGAAGACAGAAGTGACATATGAACTGAGATTTGAAGAATTAATTCATTTGTTTATTCATTTGTTTATACATTCTACATTTACTGAGCACTTAGTAAACAGCCAAACATTTATCAAGCTCCTACTAAGTACCAAAAGTTGGAGATACAGCAGTAATTATAATCAAATCCCTGCTCTCCGGAGCTTCATTCTAATGCAAAGGCAATATACATAGGCCAGATAGTGTTAAGTATTATGAAGAAACTATAAAGCAGGTTAAGGGAAAGAGTGCTGGGTTAGGTGGGGCATTTAACACCAGATAATCAAAGGGAACAGCACACATAAAGGCCATGAGGTGGAAACATGTTTGAAAAATAGCAAGGAAACCAGTGTAGCTAGTGCAGAGTAAACAGAGAGAGCAGACAAGATGACGTCAGGGAAGCGGCCTCTTTCCTCCCCATTTCCTACTCAATCTCACTAAAATGATTAAAAAAGGTCACCAACAGCCTGGTCGGTGTGACACAGTGGTTGAGCACTGACCTGTGAACCAAGAGGTCACAGTTCGATACCTGGTCAGGGTACATGCCTGGGTTCTGGGCTTGACCCCCCAGTGTGGGGCGTGCAGGAGGCAGCCAATCGATGATTCTCTCTCATCACTGATGTTTCTCTCTCTCGCTCCCTCTCCCTTCCTCTCTGAAATCAATAAGTATTTATTTAAGAAAAAAGAATTTAAAAGATGGAAACATACTGATAAATATCACAGGGTGTTATAAAAATACAGAGAAGTGCTATTTAGCCCATGTGGGAGGTGGAGGGTTAGTCAGAAAAGGCTTCCCAGGTATGTTGCCTAACGTAGGTCCTGGGAATAAGCTCGTCTGCCAGGTGAAAAGTGGCAGTTTTGTAGGCAGAGGGCGGAAAATTACAGTGAAGGCAAAATAGTGAAGAAAAGCTTGATGATTAGTGGAGTGACTACTGCATAAAGTTCAAGGTGAGAAATGATGGGGAAAAAGCTGAAAGAAAAGGAGGAGCACATTATAGAGACTATTCATGGAGAACAATCTACAGAATATAAATTTATCTTCTTAGGAAAAAAACCATGAAAAATTATAAATAAAGATAACTCAGGAAAAATCTTAATAGAAGTACTAAAAAACTGAGAGAATAATAGAGAATAGAGAATTTCAAAATCAAAGCAGTCTGTTTATGTAGCAGAAGTCTGTAACAAGTGCTAATGACTAAATATCAAATTATTATCCCTTTCACAATATCTGAAAAAAAAGAAAGAAAGAAAGCCAGAGGCCAAATTAAATTTACTAATATCTTGAAAAACTTCAGTACTTACAAATAAAATACAGATACTTTACAAAAATAATCCAAGAACCACGCCTGGGAGGCAAATCTGTGTTTATATCCTGGCATAGCCAAGCACTAGCTATGTGACATCAAACAAATTACCTTTTTTCCTGTAAAACTCCAGGGCTCAATAAACTGACCCCTAAGATCCCTTCCTGATGTAATATCCTATGACTCACTAGAAGAATTAAATCAAAGGCCGAGAATAATTCTTCATTATTTAGTCCCTGCCTTATCTATAGCCGCTTCCCTCCTCTCCTCCATCTCTTCAACTCTATGCTGCAATTACAATGAATTCATTGACTATATCATACCCACTCTTACCTCTGGATCTTTAGACATTACTCCTTCTGTTTGGTACTCTTGTACTCTTCCACCAGTGCTACTCCTTCCTTAGAAAATGCCTCATTAAGTTCTATTCCTCCTTCAAGTGTCCACTACATTCCTTCTTTCTTCCCTAGCTCCCCAACCTTACCTTAGACAATTCAGGTTAGATACTCTCTGTATTCCCAGGGAGCCCTCTCCTTTCCTGATCACAACAACACTAAGCTTTGTTCGAATTTCCTGTTTAACATCAGTCTCCTCCATCTTGGTGGAGTTGTGTGATGAGAAGGCAGAACTGTGCTACCTGTACTTTATCATATCACCAAAACCCAGCAGAATGCCTGGTTAAAAATAAACAAGAAGTGGTGCCCCATAAGTACTGATGAAGAAATGAGTAATAAACTGTGACCGCTCACTTCTAATACACCCAGGATAGTGTCTAGCTGATCCTCTCGGAGGGTGATATTGTTGGAGATTTTTCTCATGGTATGTATGGACTGTAGACGAACTTCCTCAATTTCATCATTAAACATGTCAACCAGGAAATCAAGGCACTTCTCAGCAAAAGAGGATGAAGACTGAGCCAGCATGCAGAGAGCCTCCACAGCAGCAATGCGGACCTCTAGACAAAAGGAGACAAATACAACTGCGTATCAAATTAAGAGCCATGGAAAAAAATCCAAGGATTCCTTCTC